AAATTTATTCGACATGTAAATTATTTTAATAATCAAAATCCATTACGATTTTACTGAAAGATATTGCATTATTATTAACTGTAATAAAATTGTTCAATTATTAAAGAATGTAATTAACTAAAGAACATAAATTATGTGTGAATATTATATAGACGATGTTCCAATAATAAATGTAATAAATTTATATATGTCTTCGCAAATTTAAACCATTTCTGTTTACCATAAAACGTTCCCAAAGATATAGTTTCGTAATTAAATGACTACAATAGTTTGCGAGAAATAGTTCTCAACGTTTTAAGTGAAAACTCGTCGGTATTAGACACTCGAAACGAATAATAATACGAGCGGACAGAGGTGTTCACGGTTGTTCCCTTGAACCCGCGCCCGTGCGGTGTTCGTCGCGATCAACGGGAATAAGTTTAACACCGTCGCTGAAATTGCCACCCGGCCGGAGTAAAGCTGGACAAACTTTTGCGCAACTTAGGTAACAAGGTGAGCTCGTCAAACAATCGCGGCGCCGGGACCACAATGAAACCGCGGTATTGCCAATCGGTCGAATTGGATTTCGGGGTCTGGCTTTCGAGTTTCCGCTTGATTGGATCGATAAAGGCCGGGGTCAGCTTCGGCTAAGTATAGCTAAGACGCGGTTTCGATCAATTAGAGAATGGGCCGGGGCCACGTTCGCGCAGATGTTACCGAGAAAAATTTTCCACGATTTATTGCCGGGGAAACTCACGGCAGTTTGCCCTCGTTTCAAAGGAAACTCCTCGACCCCGTGTGAAACATGCCTCGCATCCCAGCTCGGATCCATACGCAACCGATTTACGCGTAATCGAATTCCCGTACCGGCCACTCGTTGCCTCTTCTCTACAGAAAGGGTGAGAGCGCGGCCTTGATTGCAGGACACTGGTTCGTTGATTGAAACCGAAAAATATTGATAACGCGGTGCTCTGTATAAGAGTATAGGACGTACAAATAATTGCTTTATTATAACAATTATATAGAAAGATACTGATACAATTAGATCTTTATATGAGGAAGACAAATTGAATATCAATTTTGTAAAATTAATTCAGCTAACTAGTACACTCGAACATAGCCAGAAAATTGCGCTCCTAAAACTTGATGATTGTCAAAGAACAGTTCGTATATTTTTTAATTGATTCACTATAAAATATTGCAACTTAATTCCTCTGTCCATACAGAACATCCGTTCATATTTCCGAATCAAAATTGCAGTTTAATGCTTGCATCCCTCGAGTATGATATAAAACGTGTACCTAAAACTTCATGTCTCAAGTTCATTGTACAATCATATTATTACTTACTGAATGGATAAAGCCATCTCTGATAGTGAGTGAATGATGAGAAACAAAAACCATGAAGCTTACGATTAATTCCATTGAACTCGCCATTTCGAATCGTAGAACACGACGCTGGATGCACACAACGATCCGCACCGCATCGCTCCAATTCTCTTAACTTCTCTGATATTACACTGAATCGATGTACCATTTTGGGAGGAGCGAAAGCGGCCGAGTGAATTTGCACGTACTGTACGAAGATCCCGGACGAAGTCGAAGTTTCGCCGGCTTCCGCGGGGCGCGCGGTATTATTAAACTTCCGGCGGAGCCGAAAGCGAGCATACTACCGCGCCGGCATAAGATTGTAATAGCGAACTTTTGCCCCGCGGCTACATCGAGATTTCTTGGTCGGCTCGGTCCCGCGAACTCGGCAAAATTATTCGCGATGGCGTGGCGGCCGCGTGACAACCGAATTGATTAGATCTAAACTTCCGTTTCCGATCTCCTTTTCTCTTTCTCTGGCTGTGGAGTCACACCGTGGCGCACAAATTATCGTGACGATTATTTACGCCAGGAAACACGACCCGTGAAAAATTCACACGTGAAAAAAAAGAAACAAGTTAAGTGTATTGAATAACCGTCGCTGTTCTCCGCGAGAAACTCCATGTTCCTGCGGTGTCCTTTAAATTGCGTATTCCAAGTTCTTCCGTGTACCGGAATGTTTTCGCCGGGAGGCGTCGAAATGGAGCGCGCGTGGACAGAGCTTAGTGGGAAATCGTCGGGTAGCAATCAAGCGAGGGAAAAAAGTAATAGAATTGTTGAAGAGAATGAGGAAACTTGTATTGAATCGAACCGGTAACTTATTCGTGCAGACTCTGATGTCGGAAATTTCGCGGGTACGACCCGTGGGAATAAAATATGCATGGTTAACACAGGAATTACGTCGTTCGAAGCGAGTTCACGCGTGAACATCGTGGAAAAAATTTATACTGGGTCCGCCGAAAATACGCGGTACCAATCTTCCCCGGTTTTTTATCAGACGAAGAGTCGTTCCAAGGAATTGGAAAAAGGAAATGGATAACCGAACGGGAAGCTATCAAAAAGGTAATGAAAGATACGTCCCGGTGCGCGCGCCACGGCCGGAACAGTCTCGTCTTTCCAATTTCAATATTGCTCGTATTCCATATTCATAAAGAACCAAAGTAAACACGTTAAAAACCCTCGGCTCCGTCCGACTACTTTACCATCAACGAGGAATTACGAATCCCATTACCAAACAAAATATTAAAAGCGAGATTAGCGAGCGGCACGGAACAAAACCGTCGGAACTGCACGCTATTTGTTCAGAGGATAGCTCCGTCGAACAAGAAGCGCGGGGTAAATACTCGAACCGGATACGCGAAACGGGTATCGCGCGTGGAAAAAGGATAGCCGTTTGTTCCGTGTTGTTAACCGCATATGCGACGCCCGGAGAACGGCGTTCAACAACGGCAGCCGATGCGGTGAACATCGTCCGTCCCGCGCTTTTCGCTAAATTAAATGGCCTGCACTTTTTGCGTAACTCCGCGCGCCTAATGGAAAATTCTACTTTCCTTATCGAATGCGGATTTCTCGCGCGCGTTACGAAGCGCTCGCAGTTATCGCACCATGCAATCGTTTATAGAGACCAAGTAACTATCGAAAGATAAATTAACTCTCGTTGGGAACGAATGGAACACAATTTATATCTCCTCCGGATAATCGAATCTACGAACGAAGAATTAGGATTTCGCGATAGGAGAGCATCGCGATTTAATTACACAGCGCTAAATAAGCCCTGATACGCTATCTCTCGCGTAAAGCTATTCGGACTTGGCGGATGGGCTTTAATTAAAATCGTAATTTTTGTTTCGCGTAGTATCTACCCGTTACAACTGCGCCTGACAAGAGATTCACCTTATTCGAGAACGAAACTAGTGAGAAATGGAACGACTGGACAGAAACTGTGACGCGATAATGACGTACGATCCTATTCCTTTATAAAGGAATAGTAATTCCTTTGAAAGGTTTTCTCTGTTAGGTAACGAGTTTATTAAGCTCGACACGCGATAGATCGTAGCTATGATCAAAAAGATGAAATAAATTACTTGTCTGGACACACCCCCTTTCATGCGATAGAATAATCATTTACACAACTATTTCAGAAGAAAATTGCTGTTTAAAAGTAGTACTTTTCAGTTCTATAACTGTTGCGTTTAATCGGATAGTCATTAATGTGCTTGGCTACTTTATTACTGAATCCGAACACGATGGAATGCAACGTTTCTTAGTTAATATTTCAGATTCATCATTAGCGTGGCATGAAACTTGGTAACAGGTTTCCGACGCGCGATATACGTAGTAGTCCTCGATCCATGTGCCTGTAATGTTGGCAAGGAGTATATACGTACAACGTTGAACGCTATCCACGGCAGTCAAGCATATTTTGTGTACGCGGTACCATGTAATTAAGTATAGCGACATATACTACATAAATTACTCCCTTTACCACTTTAAATTGCTGTGTAAGCATGCAAATTTTATTAATCGTACCGCGTTTCATAATTAATCGTTATTATCACTAATGCTATCAGGAATTCCATTCGGTTGTATATCTCGCAGACCGAACTGTGTATTTATTGATGTTCGGTTTAATTTACGTTGCAGTACGATTGTAACGAACGCTCCACTCTGTCCGAGTTCTTTATCAAAGGCTGTCTGCTGACAAATGGAAGCGACCACGAAACACTTGTCTTTTCCCTATCCCTGTATCAAAGTGTCAACCATCACGCGGTGTAATGAAAGAAATCTATGCACGCGTGTGGACCGTAGACTCGTTTCATTCTTCACGCGGCCCCTCAACGGAAAACGTACATAAACGATCCGATGTAACTCGTTTACGTTTCAAAGTAACGAAACATAGTGGAACTTGAAATAGAAAAAGCTATTTTTCTTTACATATAGAATTGTATAACTTAGGCAACTTTCTGCATTCCCCTGTTTTTTTGCGACTTTTGTTATGACCCGTAGATCAGGCATTGTGGGCGATCCAATAGACTCGCGAGCAAAAAAAGCCAAGCGAGATTGATCGCAGATCCACGGTCCACGTAACTTTATGGACGTTAATTTTTCTTTGAATGGGTCGGACCGCGGCGAGCTTCGAGCGAGCGCATTCCACGGAAATATTTTGCCGTTTGTAACTTTAATGATTCGACGGTGGAACCACTTCGTGGGTCGGATGGAAATTTACGACGCGGCGTCGGCTAAAATTGTTTAGGGTTTTATCGGCGATGGGAAAATATGTCACGATAGAAAAAAAAAAAAATCTGTCGCACGCGGGAGATGAATTTTTATGCAGTCGATCGCCGCTTTTGTCCAATTCAAAACAACGTGCGAGGACGATAAATTAGAAACGAAACCTGATTTATATTAATAGCGGATGCTAAACTATCAGAACTACTCTCGTTAATTTCGTTAATTGTTCGATGAACTCGGTCAATACATCGATATTATTTAATGATATTTGTTTCATGGTACGATTAAATACTTAAGCCCATTAAAAGTAATATTTCGCTTCGTAGGAGGGCGAAATCGCGTGCGAAGCACGGTGCACGTAAAAGGCAACACGAACGCTACTCTAATAAAAGGTAGGAAAAAGTTCTAACTCCTATTACATACCTGGATTTACGGCGTGGCAGTGGTTGAGGAGCGGCAGCCAACAGAGCAGTAGCACCGCTCTCTGCATCTGAAACAGAAATAATATAGTTTCTTTTAACAAACTAATTCGTTATTTAAAAATCAATTCTGAAAAATTGTTATTGACTTGCCATCACAATATGAAAGCTAACGATATCACATTTTAAACTAAATTTAATCCAATATAAACATTTTCTGCGATATCGCGATTCGTCATGGTCGGACTATCACAGCTTCGTGAAATGACAGTAAATAAAATTAGGAAACAGCAGCAGGTTTTCGATGTTTGGCCGCAGAATTATTTCACGCACTGTATAATTCATCACGAATAGTTTCCGAAACTGTCGCCGGGACGGTACGAAAATTCTCCATCGGGGCAAACAAATTTTCGAAACCGACAATTAACAGGACACATTTCCATATTTCCATCCGCGGAGCGTATCGGCGCACTTTGACTGTTCGATTCGGGAACGGCCTACACGCGATCGTGCACGGGTGCATCCGTACACACACGGAACGGGGCAATCCTACGGGTGTCCATTCTCGCGAGAGCAAATGAACTCCGGAGAGCGAGGTTCTGCGCGAGTATACGCACGACCGACCTCCGAATATATAGAACCAGCCGTGCGGGCAGCGAGGTATATTGCATTTTCCACGGATCGGAGTTTTCGTTGTTAAACGACAAGTCCGGGGACTTTCAGAGAACCACCAGATTCGACGAGGACGATTGATCCGACCAGAGAAACAGACATTATAGATACAGTAGACTTCGAACGTACGCGAACGAATATAGCAGAATCATAAATTGTCTAATCGTGAAACATAACGAATTCTTGTCAGCTTTTGCGTAGTCATTACTCTGTTCGATTTAATGACTATGCTGTAGTGGGCGACGATAAATCTTGCATTATTCACGATTCCAGGGTAATGAGCGTAACGCGACACTCGTATATCTTAAAAACATATTTCAGACGAACGAAACAACACTTTAATCCGGATAAATGGCACGCCCGTAAATATGAATTAAGCAAATGACGGAGCTTCATTAAAATTGCACCATCGATTGGTTCCGAATGACGGGCGATCTCGCGTGGCTAAATCCACTTAAAGCCGACAGCAGGAGGGAAAAGCTAGTGAATATCCGGCCACCTGATGTTTGAAAGAAGCTCGCAGCCAAAGGGAAATGTACATTCATTTGTTATACGCTGCTATTGTTGGAGGTTCAAGAAAGGAGTATTGAAAAAATTTCTTCACAATAGCCGAGCGAGTGACAATTTAAAAATTGCATTCAGTGCACGTTGAGAAATGTCGTATTTGTTAATGAGAAAAAATTATATTGAAACTGCGCGACCGACGATGACACAGAATATGCATCGAAGTTTTAGTAGGCTGACGATCGTGTCGTCCCGCGTAGGAGGAACTGTTGACATTTGCCGAACAATGGAGTCTTCTTCGCAAATATTTCGACCCCTTTGAAATCGACCTTGCGTACACTTCCTGCGCAAACAGTTGAAACAATGATATTTTTAGAAGCTTCTTTAAAGACTAAATCAAATAGAAAGAGCTAATATTTGTGCAGGCGCAGGCGTCACGACTTTTTCATTACAATTTCACGACAAGCTGATATGGAGGGGCTGATAAAATATTCATTTTATTTTTCGCCTCGTTCAGACAGTTTGCTTAACATAATTGAAGGAAATAAATCGGGAAAATTAATTTCAAGTTTGCCAAGTCTCCGGTAAACTTTTATCTACCTTTCATTTAACTTTCGGTTTACGGTACAATATTGCTATTGGAAGTAGGAAAATGGTGACCCCGAACTGTTTGTTTTCTGATATTGGAAAATTTGAAAAAAAACACATAAATACACTTTCATCGTGGACGTGAAAGTTCAGTCAAACAATTTTGAAGTGTTTCATGAAAATCGTTTTCAACGTCTGCGAGGCGAGCCTAAAAGGGTCCGGTTCCGGTTTACGCTGGAACCTTTCGACCAATCTTCCGCCGCGATACGGGCGCAGTTTTATTTCCCAATGAGCAACGAGCGGTTAACAAAGGATTTCCACGCGGTTTCATCGCGAAATTTTAATTGAAATTCTTAAACTCATTTCGCGGCAATTGTTCGGCGCCGGGTAAAGCCGTACGCGCGATTCTCAGTTAACAATAAACGCTTTTCAAACAGCCAGTGGAGATACCTCAAAACCGAGCAAATAAATCATTCACGCTATAATGAAACGCTGGGTACAATTGTCGGGCCCGATCCCGGATGAAAGACCGTTCGAGCTCGAGGAAATTAGAAGCGGTACGAACGCTTGTTAAACACGTTTGTAACCGCGTAGCGTAGCCTCGAAAATCACGCTGTCGAGAACCGTTCCGTTCGAGTACTTCAACGACGTTGATAACAATTTTTCCATCAAGTTTCCCCTCACTTTAAATCGTATTACGCCCGTGTTTTATTTTCATCGTCAGTTTCCGCAAGCAGAATTTCAAACTCGTTAATTTCGTTCGTGATTATATGCGAATACCTTTTTATGTCTATTTCTCACTGTACAAACGATGTACATAGAAATATCATCTCAAGTGAACTACAAGCGATGTCCTGTAAATTTTCTCGCGATGAAAGTCCCGTTCGTTATACCGTAGAATGTACAACATGTAGTCGATGCGACGTTAGTCAAATGACGTTAGTTTCATTTTCCATACGACACGAAACGTGTAGGACAGTTCCGAAGCCTGAGGCTTAATAGTTGATAATTGATGCGATTTTCAAGTTAAAAACAGAATAGAACCCACGTCGATAATTATTAACAATATTTTGCTAATACTATTTTCCACACATAATTTAATGTGTAATATAGTATACCTTTTTTTTAATAAAAC